TTCTTTGTGGTGTACGGTTCCAAGTTTGGACAGATGCATAGAATCATATAACCCACCGGCTCAGTAGTAATCATATGTTAAGTGTATTTTTAACCTTATAAATATATCAACTTGTTGTCCAAAGCTGTACCATTTTGCATATGTACCAGACAATGAATGAGAATTCTTGGCACTTTGCAACCTTGACAACATTTGGCATCACCAGTTTCTTATATTTAGCCTTTCTAACAGATGAGTTTTAGGAAAGCGATACTTTTACTTTTATAAAGATTTTATTTATTTATTTGAGAGACAGAGAGAGCAGGAGGGGGAGCAAAGGGAGAGGGACAAGCAGACTCTGTGCTGAGTAGGGAGCCCCACACAGGGCACAATCTCACGACCCTGAGATCATGACCCAAGTTGAAATCAAGAGTCAGACGCTTAACCAACTGAGTCACCCGCTTAACCAACTGAGTCACCCAGGCGCCCCAGAAAAGCCATTCTTAAACTCTGCTTTGCACCGAGCAGGTGTACATTTAAAAAAACCAATTAAAGAATGATGTTGATTATATTTAAAGAATAAATGTCTAGGAAGTTTCCCCCAACAGGAGCGATTATTAACTGAAGTAATCCATACTTGAGCAGGAAGAGCAATGCCCTCACACAGGAGATGCCTGAGGAATGATCCTTTCCCTTGTTCCCATGCTGCCGTTTCTCAGGGTTTTCTGCATTCTCCGAAGGAAAAAGCTTCAGGCCGCAGAAAAAACGTTGACGGTAGGCTTTTCAGACTTCACTGCATATGTATATCTGAGGTAGGATCTCCAGTCTGCGACAGACATGCTGTCAGTGAAGTCTACGTCCTCCTTCTTCTCTGTCTTCCCTTTCCTAGGACTCTACTAGGCAACCCTGGAGGATGACTGGAAGGAAAGGGGGCGGGGAGAAGGGACTTTCTTTTTCCTGTTTGCTGGCCCGTCCTGGTTATATGGCTGGAACAGCATCAGATTGTCCTGGCAGTGGCCCTTGGATCCAGCCTCCTTTGGCAACTTCTCTTGAGACTCCCCAGGGCCAGTCTCACCACACAATGCACCTTTTCAGATAATATCCAAGGTCCTACCTTTTCCAAACTCCTCTGAGTTCCTACATTACCAGTAAGGGCCAGCAGTTCCCCACCTTCAGAAGTCTGAGTTACAACTCTGAGGGGCTCTCCTCTGAGCACCCCTTCTCCTTTACTCTCCCAGCCCTAAGGGTAACAGCTGCTTTCTGGAGTTACTCTCTTTGGATAACTTCAGCACTCCCTTTCTACTCTCTCAGCCCTCTGACATCCATTCGATTAATTCCCTCTATTAAATTCTTTTTGGTGAAACACCTAACATATTATACATTTTCCTAATTTGTTCTTAGATTCTGATCTGTAGGTTATTTCCTTTTTTCTATTAAAAGCAATGCTGCAATAAATATTTGTACATGCTTCTGGATACATACATCTGAAAATTTTTCCTATAATAAGGATCCAGAATTAGGGTTATTAGGTCATAGGTAAGAGAATCTTCAACTTTACTAGACAAAATTCATGACCTGCACTTCAAAGAAGCATTTTTATTTTCCATTTTGTTCATTACAGCTTTCATTTCACCTTCCCTTCCTCAGGGTATTACTAATGGCCCCAAGACCAAGAGGGAACTGTCTTGGCTTCTATTTTATAACATCCTAGAAGAAGGGTCTGAGATGGACCAGAGTTTTCCTGATAAAGCTATAACAGATGCCTGGCCCTGTTTAACTTTGATGGTTGGTAGCATCATATATCAGAGGGCCAGTGGTCCAGGGGAATGGAGCACACATCTCTCTTGAGGAATCAACCAAGTTACAAATATTTTCAGACCCTTCTCATACTGATTACTGACAAGATACCCTTTGTCCAGCTCTGTGTCGTTCTTTGCTGTCTGTCAGCTTTGGGACTTCCCAAGATTGAGGCACTGGGATCTTTGCCAGCCTGGGTTTCCCAGAGCCAAAGTCCAGTCTCCTCTTCTGAGGTCCTGCCACCTCCCACCTCCCTGGGGTTCTGCCAGGGACCCTGCATCCTTCCACACCTGGAGAGGTGCTCACCAATATTTTCTTCCCTTCCTGTCTCAGGGACTTTCTTTCTTGATACACACAAAGACACACACAGACACACACACAGACACACACACTTCCATGAGCTCAGACTCCCACAAAAGGCACAAAGAGAAGCTGTCTCATTGTCTCCAAGCATGGCTCTCTGTGGCTAAACCCGGTGCGGTGGGAGGGACGGCCTCCTGTGGGCAGCTACAGTGGCTGCGAGAATGCAAACCTTGTCTCAGGTTCCAAGACAGTGAATACGAGTCCTGAAAACAGCCAGGGACCCAATCTCCCAGCAATCTTGGCATCTAGAGGAGACTAACTAGATGAAACCATATTCATTTATCCCTCAAGGAGAAAATTTGAGGTTTTCTACACCCAAGGGGTATCACAGGCCATTCCCATTATACTGTGCTGTTTGAAAATTTACTCACAGTATCATTCCCATGACGGGAGGTGGGCAGGATCATTCCCATTTCTCAGGGGAGGAAAGTGAGGCCCAGAAAAGAAGAGTAACTTGCCCAAGTAGCAGTGGTGGGACTTGAACATGCTCAGGCCTGACTCCCCAAAGCCCACATTCTAACTTACCACCCAAACTCCTTCAGCACGAGCAGTGGAAGATTCTGGAGATGTGCTTGCTAGTCTGCCTCCAGCTTCCTATCCACTCATGATTTTTCCAACCGCCTGAACACCCCCATGGCAACTGGGGGCAATGATACCGGGACATTTAGCATCCTGCCTGAGACCCACTTCTTACATATTTAAATAGTTTGACTTACTTGCTCTGACAAATGTGGCAGCTTTGGTTGCTTTTCCTCACCTGCTTCTGGCTGTGCATATCCCCTCACGTGGGGGATAGCGCCTTGCCCTATTCTCCACTTTTATACTTGGGAAGGCAGGCTCACTGCCTTAGACACAGATCCCAGAACTGAATCTCCCCTTTGACAAAATATGAAGCAGGAGTCATTTAATTTTTTTTTAAATCCAGGTCTCTATTTTTCCTGTGCAAATATAAACATAGGCATAATTAATAGTTAAGGCTTTTAAAATATATGCATTTTGAGTATACATTGCTAGTTACAGTTTGCTGATGATATGAGCTTGGATCTTATCTTCCTTTAATAGTCCTTTTAAATTCATTTTAGAAAGTTAAAATGGTTTAAATGATCCATAATAAAAACCAGAAGAGACCCATTGGAATCCAAAATACATACTTGAAAATGCAGCACCTTTTGTATGAACTACATTAGAGTCCAGTTGTGTAGTGTATGGATTATAACTTCAGACCACAGAGACTTCAAAGTCTCTGAAGCAAAATGGGGCATTTTTTTCTGAAAAGAAAGAGGAAGAGGAAGAAGAGGGGAAGTCAGAAGAGAAGAGAAGATGAAGAGAAGAGAAAGAAGGGAGTGAGGAAGGAAGGAAGGAAGAAAGGAAGGAAGGAAGGAGGGGGAGGAAAGTGAACGAAGAAAGGGAGGGAGGGAGAAGGGGAGCAAAGGAAGGAAGGAAGGAAGGAAGGGAGGGAGGAAGGGAGGGAGGAAGGAGGGAAGTGAAGGAAGAGAAGGAGGGAGGGAAGGGAAGGAAGAAAGGAGGGAGGGAAGGAGGGAGGAAAGAAAGGAAGAAAGATGGGAGGGAGGGGAAGAATGATGGAAGAAGGGAAAGAAGGAAGGAAAGATGGAAGGAGGGAAGGAAGAAAGGAGGAAGGGAAGGAAGGAAGCAGTGAGGGAAGGAGGAAGGGAGGAAGGAAGGAAGGAGAAAGAGAAAAGGGAAGGGAACCTGCGCATATGGCTTCTCTGCATGAGAAGAATAACTCACCTTTGGGTAACTTGCAATGTGTATTTAAGTGAAGGAAGGACCCCTAAGGTTATAATTCACATTCATAGAATCCAAATATAGTAATATTTTATACAATGGTAATGGAATTCTCTTTACTGGATTAAAAAAAGAAAAAAGCTATGTCCTATACTGGGCACACTTTCGCCTAGATGAGAACTTTGCCACTGGATATAATTCCAAGGTAGGGTGAGGTTTCCTCCTTGAGTGGAGGGGCAGTTTGCAAAGATACGGCCTAAATGTCTGACCTTCTAAAAGTTCTAGTTGTCAGCTTTGCTTGAGTCAGGACTCTATCCCAACCTCCAACCTGAAAGTCTCTCCCCCAAACATAACTCTCCCCTTCAAGCCAGAACAGGCTGCCCCTGTTCCTGACTCAGGAACGACAGGAGAGGCTGTCTTCAAACCCCTTTGGTGAGTTAGAAGATGTTTCTTTCCCTCATCGAGATGTTCTTGGGGGCTGAATGTCAGGGAGTTTGCATTTGCTTCCAAGGCTTGAAGTGACCCCAAATGGGCCAACTTGGCTTCATCCCTTGTGCTTATCACAGTACAACCAAAGGCCAGGATTTCTAGAATCCCAAAGAGCACACAAGGAGAAACCAGATTCAGAAACATGCCCCAAACTGTCTTGTGTAAGGTTGAATCTGAGATCCCACATTGCACTTCTAGCTTCTGTTACATCTCCCTTATCGGAAGGTGGTGGCATGGGGTGTGCCAGGGGGTGGATGACTAAATAATCTTCCATTTACAGGAAAATAAAGTTCAAAAGTCTAAAAATTCCCCATGGATTAAAAAAAGTGTTCTGTGCCCACACTTTCGTATGCGTGGGTTGGGGAACATCTCATACTGTACGAAGCCCTGCTCCATGCAGTGTTCAATGGGGATATCACAATAACCCGCTGCATAACTGGGGCCAACATGATGAGCTCCCTTCCTTCCTAAATGAGGAAACCGAAGCTCTCCTGCAGTCCCACATGGCTTGCAAAGGGGAGGGAGAACGGAAATGCAGCCTTGCCGAGTCCTGGGCCATTCAGCCGTAGCCACAGTGCATCACGCCAATGGTGGACTCTGGGAAGCAGGACATGGACCTCTGCCTTTCACTGTTGTTTGGTCTCTGTTTTCTCAGCCTCCCCAGGAGTGGCCCCGTCAGCCAGAGGGTCACTCGTGCCGATCTTCACCTGGCTTTCCAGGTGACTGAGACGTTGCTTCACTTTCATCTGAGTGGCGTTGTACTCGGCCAGGAGCCGTGCAAACCTGGTCTGCAGGGTGTCTAGGGAGGACTCCAGGTGCTCCACCTTCTCCTCAATATCCTTGGGGTCCGCCCCGGCCCTGGCCACATCCTCATCAATCAGGTTGTCCTTCATCAGGATCTGCCGTCCCTTCTCCTCCAGGGCCTTCTTGGCCTCTGGGTATTCGGTGAGAGCCTCCATCAGATCATCCTTGGAAAGGCAGAATAGGTCCGAGTAGCCGATGCTCCTGATATTGGCTGTCCTGCGGTTCCCTGACTTGCTCCCCTTGATGTTCAAGATGCTGATCTCCCCAAAGTAACTCCCATCACTGAGGACCACGAACTGGGTGATCCCGTCATCAGCCACCACAGCCAGCTTGCCCTCCTTGATGATGTACATCTCCCTCCCGATGTCCCCCTTCTTGCAGATGTAATCCCCTGGGCTGAACACTGCAGGCCGCAGCTTGAGCACCAGTTCTACCAGCAGCCCTGCCTCACAGTCTTGGAAGATGCGGACCTTCTTCAGAGTGTCCAGGTGCACGTTGATGGCGATCTCGGCCTTCAGTTTGTCTGGGAGACTCTTGAGTACCTCCTTCTCATCCACTGTCTTCTTGTTGGCCCACAGGTAGTCAAACCACCGGATCACCCGAGTCTCCAAGTCCTTGGTCACCTTGCGGAATTGCATGTACTGCTTGATAGAGTCAATCTTGGCCTGGAACTCAGCCCGTGAAGCATTCATGTTCGAGATCATGGAGCCCACGTTGCCAACAATGGTGGCAAAAATCAGGACGCCCACTAGGAAGTCTATGACCACAAACAGATACTCCTCGTCTTTCACAGGGGGTGGGGTCTCCCCGATGGTGGTCAGGGTCAAGGTGGACCAATAGAGACTATAAATGTACTTCCTGGAGAGGCGTCCATACTCTGGGTTTGAGACGTTTGGATAGACCCAGGAATCTGTCCCAAAACCAATGAACTTGGAAATGGCAAAGTAGATGCAGGCGTTCCAATGGATGATGACGAGGATGTACAAGACCAAGTTCCCGATCCTGAACAAATTGGGGTAGTTGGTCCTTGTCTCTGTGCGGTCGAAGAACTCAAAGAGCCGGGCAAACTTCAGGAGGCGGTTGAACCTCAGTTCTGGGTAGTTTATGCCCAACTTAAAATAAGCCAGGTCTGTGGGGACTAGGGATAATATGTCCAGCTTGAAGTGCACAGTCTTTGTGTAATGCTTCCACAGTCTCGGGGCATCCTTGACCATCAAGCCTTGTTCAAGGAAGCCTGAAGAAAAAGATGGAGGTCACTTGGGCATTAAAGTGGCTGCCTTTTGTGTGCGTGTGTGTGTGACCATGGCCCACAGAAAAATATTTTACACTGTAACTAAAGAAGACGTAGTTATACATACATGACAGAAACAATTTCAAAAGCCACATTTACCTCTTACTATGAAAATGCACTCTGATATTTTCTCATCTAGGATGTTCCAACCTGTCTTATTCAATTAAAAATGTAGATTAATTGGGTAAATGTGAATGGGGACTGCTGTTCGAAGATACCAAGGAACGATTATTAAATTTTTAAAAGATAAATGGATGTGTTAAATATATATATTTACATTTGTTTACATAATCTCTACACCCAATGTGGGGCTTAAACCCACGACTCCAAGATCAAGAGCCTCACGTTCTTCTGAGTGAGCCAGCCAGGAGACCCTGGACATTATATTTTTAAAATGCATCCTTTAAAGTTAGAGATACATATTAAAGTGGTCGCCGTCTGAGATTGGCTTTAAACTACTCCAACCAAGAAAAGGGCTTGGGCAGGGAGAGATGAAACATTAGCAAAATGTTGGTAACTGCTGAAGCTGGGTGAAGGTACATGGGGATTTATATAATACTACTGTCTCCGACTTCATATTTGTTTGAAAATATTAATGATAAAAATTGTAGAAGCACATGGCCCTTCAAACTGATTTCACCAGCCACTGATGGGGCATGACCTCCCTTTTAAAAACATTGCCTACGGAAGCAGTAACTCTCCTTTGGGGCTGCACCTTACTGCCATCCCAAGGGCTCTGAAAACCTTTGCAGCATTCAGACTGGTCTGGTCTGGAGCTGAGCTGGGCGTGGAAGACTCAGGAGGTGTTATTACTGCTAAACTCAGTCAAGTAGGCTGAGACTTTCATTCTTCTTTTTCTTTTCTTTCAAACATGCACAAAAGTAGAGATATGAAGAATGTCCTTTAGATTTTGGTAAGCATCAGACTCATACTGAGGGTTCTGTGAAACCCAGAGTCCAGGCTGTCCCCACCGTTGGTTCCATAGGTCTGGGGTCTACTTCTAACAAGGTCTGGATGATGCTGCTGCTGATCCAGGGCCACACTTTGAGGGCTAGACGGAGGCCGGACTGCCCCTTTTGTGAAAAGCAAACATCAAGTTTGTGATCGTATGGTAGGGACACCCTGCCTCCCAGGCCCCAATTCCCTATTTCATTCTTTGGTTACCTTTGTGTTTATTGAGTGCCTAGATCATTCCACGGCACTCCTATGCCATGGGGCTTCTCCCTATTTCCTTAATAACATCCTCTCTCAATTCTGAAGACTTTTTTCTCTTTTGAGTATGACCCATGGCCACTTGGTTTCTGTGCCTAACTGTCTTCCCCACAAGGCTTCCTGCTGAATCTTAGATTGCCAGCGATAGCACCCAAGCACAGAAAGGGGTGGGATCCCTGTCTAAGTGGGGGTAACTTCTCCCACTGAAGCTTGGTTGAAACAGGGATAGCTGGCTCCATGAGTCGGGCCCCCCATGGAGCTCTCATGTCTCAGTAGGCTTATGTCACCACGAAGTGGCAGAACACCGGGACTAAGTTACCTTTAATGCAACCTTCAAGCTGCATACTTGAGGTCTTCTTCTTTTTTTTTCTTAAAGACTTATTTATTTGTTTAAGAGAGGGAGAGCACGCACAAGCAGGGGGAGCGGCAGGCAGAGCAAGGAGCCCAACGCAGAACCCTGAGACCACACCATGACCTGAGCAGAAATCAAGAGTCGGATGCTTAACCGACTGAGCTGCCCAGGCGCTCCAGAGGTCTTCTAATTTATGATGCTGGGCACTGAGTGGAAGCAGGGGTTGCTGGTCTGGCCCTGCCGGGTAGTGACTGCAGACTTTGGACCAGTCACTCAGCGTCTCTGGGCCTCAGTTTCTGAAGATGGAGATAATCATGCCTGTGCTTCCTGTCTCATGCAGAAGATCTCGTGAGAAACCAAGAGGTGCTTGAAATGCTTTCTACGCCGGGAAGCCACATGGAGGCTTGCTGCTGTGATGTGGTGCTGTTCTTTACAGCGACAGCTATGGCATGGTTTTCAGCTCAAAAAGCTTAAAAGTGACAAGCCAGGCCCTTGCCGGCTGATGGGAAGTCTTTGTGCAGATTAGAAAAAGGTGCCCCAAGGATACATAGCTTGGACCCTCAGACATGGGGGGTTAATTTAGCCGCCACTCGCAACCAGAGGTGATCTGAGGGAAGTCATCATGCACCTGGGCCCTGCTTCTGATTTTATGCCTCCATACATCTAAAACCACGTTGTAACCTGTCCTGGATCCTCCAGCTGTCCAGGGAAAGGAGCTCCAAGATTGAGGGAGCTCTTTCTCCTTTTTCCTGCCATACTGAACTGTCGCTGCCAGAGGGGTCCTTTGACAGATGACAGTTTGGCCTTCTTATTTCACAGGTGATACAAATGAGGCCCAGAGAGACAACTTGATTTGCTCAAGGTCCCACAGGTCGTTGGGACAGCAGGGACCAGAACCCCGGTATCCTGACCTCTGCTAAAAGGCCACTGTAGAGGGAACCATAAGGCAGTACCACGCCCTCACTGTTGGGGCTTCCCTAGACCCGCCTGGGCTCTCATGGACATGGGGAGGTAATGCCTACCACTCTGGATCTCCTGAACCTGTCACCAGTCCCCACGGTCCCCCTCCTGAGAAATGAGGTGGGTCCGTGGCCTAGTTGCCAGGGAAGTCCCTGGGCCTGGCCCCACTCACCTGTCCGGGCTCGCACCAGCATATCCATGCCATAGAGGACATCGGACGAGTAGTCCAGGACCAGCCACAACATCACGTGCTTGGACTGCAGCTCGTCGAAACAGGCCCTAGGCAAGCGAGGGAAGGAGTGTGCGTGTCCCGGGCCAGTCCCAAGCAGGCACCAGCTCTGGGCTGAGCACGGCAGTGTTCAGCCTGGTATCAGCCCTGCTGGCAGGGTTTGTTCCCCAGCGTTACCATCCCAGGCTCTGATGAGGAGACGCAGCTCTGAGCAGCTTGCTGTCCCAAAGAGAGAGCCCTGTGGCCTCTCGACAGTGAGCTCTGGGATCCAAGGAGTGGGCAGTTCTTCCAGGCCTCACTGATGGAGTCGCTGATGGGGGCAGAGACGGAGCACCTGCCCCCTCTGGGGTCAGATGCCAACAAACTAGAGGAATTTCTCAGAAATTCACAGCTGAACAAGCCAGTAAATATTTTCTGCTTTCTAGGTCCGTATGCTTACTATTTCTCACACAAAGAGTACCCCTCAAATACGCTCTTCACCTCAAAAAAGCAGCAGCTGGTGCCTGTGTCCCCACCCTGCAGCTCGATCAGCAACCCGAGCCCCCTGCTGCCTCAGAATTGCAGCTTCTCCAGGACCCCCTGCTTGCACAGGAGCAGCTCACCCACATAGGAGCTGCCCCAAGTTCTCCCCCTTCTCACACCCACACTTCCCCTCAGAAGAGCAGGAGATCCCCCCACCTTGCTCAGAGAATCCCGAAAGCCCCCACTTACACTCAGACAGTAGCATGTCTTCTCCCCAGCCCCATAGAAGCAGCTGCTGTCTATCTTGCCGACTTGCTCAGGATTGCCCCCAGAGTCCCCCTGCCTTGCCCGCACCTCCCCATCCACCCCCCAAAGAGCAGCAGCTCAACCCATATCCTTGTCCTGCATCTTCGTTCTGAACCCTGTCACTTACTCTCAGAGAGTAGCCACTTACCCCTTGTCCTGCCCTGAAGCTCGCTTAGAAAAAGCCCCAAAGTCTCCTGTGTACTTCTGGAAGAACAGAGGCTTGCCCCTCTGTCCTCCAACTGCTTGCTCAAGAACCTTGCCAAACCCCTGCCCCCTCAGAAGAGTAGCCTCCCCCCAACCTCCAGAGCACCCAAAGCCTCAGCCACTGTGGAAGGGCAGCTGCTCACCCACGCACGCCTGTCTCATGGGCTTGCACAGGAAGGCTCCAAAGCCCAGCACTTAGGAAGCGTGGCTCTTGTCCCTGCATTCTTGCCCTGTGCCTTCCTCGGGCCGCACACACTCCCACCAACCCCATCAGAGGAGAGACAAGGGATCCCGACATCTCTCTCCTACAGACTCTCTCAGAAATGCCCCAAAGGCCCTGCCTGCATCTCCGGCCTGCAGCTTGCTCAGGGATGCTCAAAGGTCCTGTTTGGCCTCAGAAGAGCATAGCCCCCAATACCCCCCATCCTGTCGGCTGCTCAGGAATGCCCAATCCCCACCCACTTCCCCTCAGAAGAGTAGCTACTCGACCCTGCATCTTCCTCCTACAGTTGGATTAAGACTATTCCAAGGTGACAGGACCCTTGCTGTCCATAGCCAGCACAGGTCCTCACCAGTGGTTCAGAGAACTCTTGAAGACGGTCCTCTTTTAGAAGTGGGGACACACAGCTGAATGGTAGCTGCATGGGGCCTGGAAACCCAGCCCCCTGACTGGGACCCAGAGCTCTGTCTTGAGGCCTGAATGCCCTCACCTTTCCTGGCCCCTCCACCCTTCTCCCCTCCTAGTGTGGAGACCCTGCCAACTGCCCCTACCTGCACACCAGCAGACACCAGTTGTAGAAGACAGGCAGGGCAATGATAGTCAACCAGTTGTAGTACATGTTGCTGGAGGGATCCACCACAATGCTGTCCTTCTTGTTTCTGGAAACACCGACACACAAACAATGCAGTGTGTTGAAAGATTGCAGCACTGGGCAGTCTTAGAAATCTTGTTTAGCTTACAGACCATAGGGCAACTGCGGCTAAACTCAAGGGACACGTCCTGTCAGTATCAGGGGGTCACATGGGGTGTCCCTGCATGGGGGGGACAGGCTAGGAGAGGGCAGACTCTGGAAGTCCTTCCCGCCTAGCTCAGCTCCTCAGGAAGCCACAGCTGACAATAAAATGATGGTGATGACACTCCCATGTGCCCACGGTATCACCCATGTCCTTCAGGATGTTGGGAAGCAATTACAGCATGGTAATGCTGGAACCATTTGGGGGAGCTCTGTGGAAATGCTGATTCCCAGGGCCCACCCAGAACCCTTCGAGGGCCAGGGCTAGAGATGTGCATTTAGACACTGTCCAGAGGTTCCGAAATAGCTCCTCTCGGGATTGCATTTGGGAGCTAACTGCATTTGTGCAGGTGATCTAAAGACTCATGTCAAGGGCTTGGATCCTGCCTCTCCGTCAAAATCAACTCATCTGGGAATCCTCTAGGTTATATGGACCAACACTGAAGGAAGCAATAGTTTAGGGTGCTTTCTGTTTTTATTTTCAGGATTTTCTAAGGATTAGAGTTTATAGGTGGCACTGGAGATTCTCCTTTTCCTTTGGGTCCATGAGCCTGTCCCCCATCCCGTATGCCCTACAAGCTGGCCCCGGATTGCAGGGCTGCTGCCATGCCCCAGGGGAGACCTCGGGATGCCTTTCTTTCTTTGCCTTGCCTCACCACGTGCAAGATCAACAGCTCACTGACAGGGCTTTGGAATGTTCCTGATGCACATCACTGCTGGGTTTGGAGTGAAGTTTGAGAATATAGTATTTCCTAGTGCCCAGGAGTAGGCCTCAGCTTACCCCGACTGTACAGACAGACGAACAGAATGTAGGGTGGGAGTGCACAGGGGCAGGCTCACAGGGACAGCCCCTGATTGCTCACCCAAGGCTGCAGACAGTCCTCTCCACCTATAATCCCCCTCTGGGCGCTCAGAGCTGGGGCAGGACTCTCCCTGCAGAGTGGGCCCCTCACACCATGTCAGGAAGCCCAAGCCCCACCTGGGACCAACTCTGCAGCCCCTCTCCAGGACCGACACCAGGGCCTGGCGACATGGTTCTCAGACTCCCAGGACCCGGGTGGGAGGTGGGAGGGGGCCCAGGCCTGACCTCTGCACCCCTTCGTTGGAGGCAGCTCTTCTCAGTACTTACTCCTCTTGTTTTGTGGAGTTTTTTTCTTTCTCTTCCTTTTTCTCCTTCTCCTCCTTTTTCGCCTTGTCACTGGATGATACAGGGGGACATTGAGCAATGTTCATAGGCCAAGGACACTACTACCACAGTGGAGAGGGTGGGCAACAGTCACAAGGAGGAGAGGGTGTGGTATAGGAAATGGATACTTCTGGCTCACGGGGATGAAACGAGGTTACTGATTTTATCGCTATTACTATTCCTGAGGTTGGAGGTAAACCAATCCATTAAAGCATACACTGTACACGTTAAAGTATGCATAGAGTTCTGGGCTAATGGTCTACAGTTTCTGACCGACTTTCATGAGTCCCTAGGAAGTCACAAAGAGCTTGAGACCAGAGACATTTTGAGGTAACAGGAAAGGAACCCACATCCACACACGGTGGGCGGAAAAGTCCCCCGGAGTTTCGAAGTCACATGTAAGGTTCTTCTTCCTGAAGGGAGGGGTATGGCTTGTTGGCTGTTCTCAAAACCCACCTGTGTATCAAATGAAAGCCTGGTCCTTGATGAGGAAGCCAGGGAGGAAAAGGGAAGCAAAATACGCACAGGCAATGGCAAATCTTAGGGTCGTCTGAGGCAAAGGCCACCATGTTCAGACACCTGTCCAGATAGTGGCAGATGGTGAGGCACCTGTCCACATCTGCAGGGAGGTCCTGTGAGGGCAGGTGTCTCCTGAGCACATGGCTTTACTCTGCTTCCTCTCCTTTATGGCATACCTTTATGCCTTAGCGCTGTTAAAAAGGTTGTCCGTTCATAGTCACACCAGGTCTGGAAGGCAGGCATTACTACCCAGGGAACCACTGAAGAAACCAAGCAGAAAGGTAAAAGACCCTGCCCGCCTCTGGGGAACCCACCAGAATCACCCACAGACCCTTCGGATCCCCCTATTCCACATCCTGGAGGAAGGCCCAGGGTTGAGAAATAAGCACTCACTGAAAAAGCCCAATATATTTTACACAGCATGACCTAAGGGAATAATCAAAGATGCATGCAAACATGTGCACGGGAAGATAACCCGCCACTGTTTCTAACAGTGAGCAGCATAAGCAATCTAACCCTAACAACAGGAGGAGATTCGTCCACAGTGGAACTCTACGAGGCCCCTCAAAATGATGTTGTGGAAGAGTATTTGGTGACACGGAAAAACCTTTCTAATATTTTGCCAAGTTAAAAGCAGACCGTGAAAACAGCACAGAATAATAGCTGTGTGGGTTTTCTATTGCTTCCAGAACAAACTGTCACTGGTTATTGGCTTAAAACAATCCTCACTTCAGATCTGTAGGTTGGAAGTCTGGTCTGGGTCTCCCTGTCCTGAAATTGAGGGGTTGGCAGGGCTGTGATCCTTTCTGAGGATTCCAGGAGAGACTCTGTTTCCCGCTTATTTGGATTGTTGGTGGAATTTAATTCCTCCTGTAATTCGATCCTCTTTTTCCTGCTGGCTGTAAGCCAAGGGCATCCTCAGCGTTTAGAGGCTGTTTTGACCTTGGTTCCTGGCGTCCTTCTTCGGTGTTCAAAGCCAGCAACAGCAGGTGTTCAAAGCCAGCAACAGCAGGTGGAGCCCTTCGAGAGATGCCCGTCTCTCTGGTTCTCTGCAGCTGGAAATCTCCACTTTCAAGGATGCTTTTGATTAGACCGGGCCCACCTTGATAATCCAGCATAAGCTCAGGCTCCTGAAATTTAATCACATCTGCAAAGTCCCTGTTGCTGTGTGAGGTAACGTAGTCACAGGAGGTGAAGATTAAGGCCTGGACTTTTGGGGGAGCCATTATGCCTCCTACCACAGTCTGGCCCTCAGCCCCCAAAGATTTATATCCACCCCATGGGCTAAATGCATTCACCCTCATTCCAAGACACCCCCCCACAAGTTTCACCCCATGATAGTATCAACTTGGAGCCCAAAAGTCTCCTCAGCTGAAAAATGCCAAATCTTATTATCTAAACCAGAATCTCATGACTCTGGGTATGAGCCCCTCTCCTTAATGAACCTGTGAGACTAAAACAAACCATCTTCTCCAAAGATACCGCGGGAGGGCAGGTATAGGATATCAGTTCTGGATACTCTATTTCAAAAAGGGAGAAGACCAAAGGACGAGAGAGTTACTGGTCACAAGTGATAAAATTCAGTGGGGCAACTGCCATTCTGTCTCAAGGCCTAAGAATAATCCTCTGTGGTTTTCAAGCCTCTACCCTCTGGGCTCAAGGCTCTCCCCTCCCAGCAATCCTTTCTTCCTCCTTAAAGGGAGCACCTGTCTATTTGTAGCTGAATATTCTAATCAACCTGTTTCCTGCATCTAGAATTTAGGGGTCCCACAGTCTGCCTCCATTTCTGCCCCTTCTGGTCTAAGCTGGCAGTGTTTTCTGCTGGTAGGAAATCTTCCAGAACATTTCAGGTCATGTTTATCAGAGGGATTCACTGGGCTAGACAAGTGGCTCATCCACAGATCTTTGAGAAATCCCTTCTCTATTTTTGGCTTCTGTGGGCGTGCAGGCAGAGGGGAGCTGTGAGTCACACCCTTAATCTCTTCAGGGAATCCTTTGTTCACTACTCAGTACTTTTGATCTTTCTGAGGTAATAGCAAAAGGTTGCTCAGCCACACCCTCAACTTTTTCCTCAAAGCACGATTTCCTGACAGTTTTTTTAAAATTTAGTATCTTTTGCATTTGAGTAGGCTGTGAATTTCCAAAATCATGAAGTCCCGTTTCCTTCTTGTTTACAATTCTTCCCTCAATATATCTCTTTCCTTTTGGGTTTTACCATAAGCAGCAAGAAGTCACCAGGCTGGACCTTCAACACCTTTGGTTGGAAATACCCTCAGCTAAACATTAAAGCTCATTGCCTACAATTTCTGCATTCCACCCTTCCTGCAGTTGTGGGACATAATTGCACTACGGTTCCTGCCACCGTAAAGCAGGAGTCCCCTTTCTCCTGTTTCCAAGAGCCTGCTCATTTTTTTTGCGAGTCCTCACCAGCAGCGTCCTTAAAGTCCTGGGTCCCTACTAATAGTCCATTTATAACCGTCCAAGCAACAAGGTGCTTGGGCAACTTAGGCTTTCTCTGTAATGCTCCTCATTTTCTTACAAGCCCTCACTGGTAGTCTTTAATATCCATATTTCTACCACCAACCTATTCGAAGCAATCTAGACTTTTTTTTTTTTTTTTTTTTTAGTTATGCTCCTCAGGATTTTTCTGGAGCCTGCTCCGAAGCCACTCCCACATTGCTCCATATTTGCTTCAGCGGTAGCCCCATCCTGGTAATCAAAAGGTGCCTTACTAGTTTTCTATCGCTGCCATAACAAATTACCACGAATATAGAGGCTTAAAACAACCCACATGTGTTATCTTATAATTCTGTAGATCAGAAGTCTGGTATAAGTCTGACTGGACAAAATTCAAGGGGCGGGCAAGTTGCGCTTCTTTTTGGAGGCCCTGGGGCAGAATCTGTTTCCTGCTCACCAGGGTTGTTGGCAGTGTTCCGTTCCTTAAAGCTGTAGGACCAAAGTCCCCGTGTTCTTGCTGCTGAAAGTGGAGGGCTGGCCAGCTTTGTGAGGCTGCTGTATGCCTTGCCTTGTGTCCCCCTTTCTCCTTCCTCAAAGCCAGCAGTTACCTTCTCACTTTGAAAATCCTCTTCCTTCTCCTTCCATCTCATCTTGTGGACCCACTCTTTCCCCCTTTCTGCTTTTTAGGACTCCTGTGATTACACTGGGCCCACTTGATAATCCAGGATAATCTCCAAGGTCTTCAAATTTAATCACACTTGCAAAGTCAACTTTGCCATATAAAGTAATCTCTCCACAGGTTCCAGAGATTAGGATGTAGCCATCTTTAGGGAGGTGGTGGTGAAATTGTTCTGCCTACCTTGCTACTCAGTATTTACTGGGCACTTACTATGAACTAGGCACTGTCCTAAGCACTGCACATGGATTCACATATTTAGTCTTCACACAACCCTGTAAGACAGACATTAATACAAACCCTAATTTTCAAGTCAGGAAACTGATGCACAGAGAGGTCAGGTAACTTGCCCAAGGTCACAAAGCTCTTTGCGGCTGAATTGGGATACAAATGAGCTTAACTGGCATATATATACATTGATAATATTATATTAGAGAGATGATATATATTGGTCACAATATGTATCTATATATATAATTATGTATAATTCTAATAAAAAGTATATATTCTGTATAATAATTATAGCATATACCAGTATATACATTACATATTTTATATAACATATTCTTTATTCCTATCTATCTATCTATCTATTCAGTAAATATAGAAAACTTGGAGGGATATTTCCCAAAATGTTAAAAGAGGGGTCATCTCTGATAATGGGATTCCACTACTAAAATGAAGTATATTTTTGGAGGGTGTATGCTCATGGGTGCTTTTCTGTGTTTTCCAAGTTTTTGAAAGTGAGTACATGAATAAATTGAATAAAAATTAAAAAATTATTAAACTTGTTAGAAGAGTAAGGACTGCCACTGACGTCTTAATGCCAAGAAACCAGCAGAGGGCGCTGCCCACAAGCTTATCAGGTAGCTCAGCTCTGCCGGAGTTTACCACCAGGCGAGAATGAGAAGGCTGGATGGAGGTTATAGGACTTGGCCTTTCCCCCTGCTTATCAACCTGCTGTGGGCCTATGAAAGACCCAGCGCCATCCAACCACATCCCTGAACCCACCCAGCATTGCCCTATACAGAGCCGCAAAACAACGCCAGTTTGGGCTAGGAGCCGTTTGCTCCAGGAGAGAGAAAAATGATTCAGGACCCATGGGGCTAAGTGAAAATGCTAGAAACGTGGTGGAAGAATGGGGAAGGATGTCCACGGGAATTATTTCTGTAACTCTGTGCCCAGATGGTCCCATTTTGGGACAGTCCCCAATTTTGTCCCTCGGTCCTCGGCCTGCTGTGTGGATCCAGGATTCGCACCCAACACCAAAGATTTATAAGAGCCTGATTCAGCCAACACCATCTCCCTCCATCCTCGCCTACATCCCAGTCCCAGAACAGAGAAGGCTAGAGAACTGCAGGACCTCTGTCCGTGGTTACCAGCGCCCCGGGCCTTTCTCCGACTGCGGGACCCAACACTGGGGATTCAACAGTGTTTAATAGTAAGTTTGGCTTTAGATCAAGCACACATCAAATAGCTGCTGTTTCGCAGATTAAATAATTTCATTTATCTTGTATTTGATTCTCTGGATTGGATATCTACATTTATGCAAACAAAATGCATTTAGGTTTCATGGAGGGAAATGGGAAAAACTTCTATCCAAGGAACAAAGGGAAATAAGAAAAAAGCCTTGACACATTTCTCTTTCAAATGGAAGTCAGGAAATCCAGATTTCTTGCTGATATTGATGGTTTCCCCCACTAAGCTCCAAATGAGACTTCCTCCAGTGCCTATCCCCATGATACTCCATAAAGAAGGCTGGAGGATGGTGCCCACACACACACACACACACACACACATGTGCTAACACGAGGGTATGATCACACTCACGCACACACCCTCCCTGGACTCCTGAGGGGCACTTGCCAGAATCACACCTCAAACTGATCTGCCAAATCAGCATCTGGTGAGAAAAAGTAATTACAGCAGGTCAGCATTTCAAGAGGCTATCCTCTGGAACTATTTACATTTCCTCTTCCCACTGTCCTGATCACACCCTCCAAATTGGCCCAGATTAGCCTTAGGACAAGAGCATTTCACTGGGGCACCCTGGAACTTGAGGTTGGAGAATGGAAAACACATTCTCATCATGAAGGAGGATATCCACAGCTCTGTAAAGGAACTCAGAGACTGTACCCTCAAATCCGTAGCGAGAGAGGATGTCAAGGCTTAAAACATTTATGCAATATAACCCCTCCGCATTATAGATGGGAAAAGTGAGGGAAGGACAGAACATGACTTGTTCCAAGAAGTCATACGGACCAGGTCCCTTCCCCATTTGTCCCCAGGATGAAAGGAACAGGGTTCTAGTCTAGTGGTGTTCTGGGTGGGTGGGAAGTGGACGCGTTTTAGCAGGGTGGCGGAGCTGGGGCACCTACTGGGAGGAAGGCGGCCGGTGGGACCAGGGAAGGCGAGGGGCTCTGCTGGGGAGCAGAGGTACTCACTCCTCTGAGTTGTTGCAGGTGTTGGTGTTGTTTCTGGCCAGGGGCCAGCCACTGCAGGGAAGTAAAAAGAATGCAGCATGGGAATCTGAGCTCAGCGCCAACGGCTGGGGGCCATCCGCCCCGGGTGGTTATTCCAGTACCTGCATCCCCAGTACCCTGGTTCTTTCCACACAGCTTGAAGCACCCTGAACAAAAATTTTTGGTGACTGGTTGGCTCTAGTAAAGCCTTGTGGGAAGAAAGGATGAACTTCTGGCTGAACTGAGTCTTCTGAATAAGTGAAAGTTGCTTTATGAGTCCCACCCAAACCTGGCCTTGCGGTGCCCTCAGTTTCATTCAGTTCAACCCCATGCCGGGCAGTGTACCAGGAGCCACCTGGGACCCAGACATGAATCTGAGGGGCACCTGCTCTCAGGGGTGCACTCAGGTGAGGAGGGCTGAGCGCCTTCAGAATGCACAGGCAGCAGCAACCTGCTCCACTCATCTGCGCGGGCGGGGCTCTCAGAAGGAGCCCTCCCTGCACCTTGAAAACACAGTCATAGCAGCTGCTTCCGACTTGCAGAGCAAAAAATAGACCGTGGGTGGAACTGTCCCAGTTTTGAGTCTATCCTGCCCTGGGCCCTTGTCCCCACATTAATCTTAACACTGGGTAGAGAGTAGAGGCTGGTTTTGCACCCAGCTGCACATTTATTTAAGGCTGAGTCACACAGTCCTTCCTGGTGGTCTTTAGGAAAAGGCATTATCTCCTAGAGCTCAATTGCTCACACACACGTTTGTGACACAGCTAGTTTAAGAAAGCCAGCGTGGCCTCACAGCCGCCTGTCTGTTGTCCCTGTAGACCATTCACAGAGGACAGCCGGGACCAAAGTCGTGGCTGGTGATACTCCTGCCTGGCTCTCAGGGAGCCTCTTCTCTTATTTGATACTGAATATAGAGACAAATGCCTTTCTGGTACTTTTGCTCACCCCTGCCCAATTCTTCCTCCCTCTCACCGTTCAGGATGTGGCTCTAACTGCTTGTTTGGGGAGAGGTTCTGATAACCGGAAAGTCTCCCAAAGAATTTTGCAACCCATGTGAAATTGGAAAAGAAAGTGTAGCTCCCTGCAGTGCAGTGGCCTGTATTCACCACATCTCTGTGTCTGGGTGTCTCTTAAGGCCAAACCAACAGAATAACCAAGACCAGTCTTTGCATACTTCTGCTTTGCCAATGGGATTTGCCTGGAAATCCAAAGTCTTCCTCCCCCTAGGAAGCCTCCCTGATTGATCAGCCGTCATTCTGCACCATTGCATGTACCTACCTACTCTGAATCCTCGGATGAGTGACCAGACATCTGAGGTACAGTTGGGACCTGGCTCTGAGAGGCTTCTAGCCCAACCCTTTGCTCATCTGGTAACATTGGGAAAGGGACAAAGAAGCCAATGTTCATCTTCATTAGGCTAAGCTTGTAGAGAAGACAATTTGATCAAGTTAGCAAAGGAAGTCTTTGCTTGCCCACCAGGAACTGAACCAGTCTGCCTAGCTCGGTAGCAAACCTCTCTCCCCTCCTCCTCCTCTGCCTTCTTTTCTTCCTTATCTGCCATCCCTCCTTTCTTTCTGGTTCAGCAGCCAACAGCACATAAGCCTTACCATCATGGAGCTCCCTCTCGGTCTAGGATGCCTGGCCCTGGGAACCTGGGATGGCCTGGCACACCTCCCCACCAGCACCCAGGTCCTCCACCATCTCTTCCCAAGCCCAGAAAGCCGAGGGTTTATGGTCCAAACCCAGGTGAAAACATGAGCCCGAGAATGCCAGGCCTTTGTATCTTAGCCAGCAATTTTCATGCCCTTCCTGGTAGGGAGACTAAAGGTGGCTGTCCTAGAGTGGTTGCTAGCAAGAAATTTTCCTTGAACTCTCACATTTCCTCTTAAATGTGCTTGTATATTTTGCAATCTAGTGCATGATCTATAATAAACCTATGACACAAACATACAAACATGGAAGAAAAATGGAAGCACCAGAAAGATCCATCTTGCTTCCTCTGAGGCTGCATGACCTTCCCTCCCCAGGAGCCCTGGGATGCCTGTTTGAGTTGCTCACACCTGAGCCCTTCTTCAGCTCATTTGACACAAAAACACGCAGGATTTGCTCTAGTAATTATATAGGGACCATCTGTTCTGCTACAACCGTGCTTGTTTTCACCTTTGCACCTTATAAATCTTGGCATTACCTAGAGAATTCAGCCAAAAGACCTTCCTAAGGCCCCTTTTTCAGAAAGCAGATTCTGAGCAAGAGTCTTCCTGTCTGAGAGGCTCCAAGGTGGTCAGCCTCCATCTCCATATCTTACCTCTCCTCTCCTCCTCTCCAATTGCCCAGAGCATCCTAAAGAGACCTTCTGCTGCTCAGTGTCCCTGGATTCAACCTGTGGTGGCCCAGTGGTCTCCCTGCTGACCACAGGCTGGGGAGACTTCCCAAGAACAAGAGAGGAAGGGAGGCAGCAGCTGTGTGTGTGGGGTGTGGGGGTGTGGGGTGAAGTCAGCACCTGCAGATTTCTCTTAAATATCTGTACCAGCCACAGCCCCAGTCAGGCGGTGGGCCATGCACAAAGTTGCTCAGAGCCTTTGCTCTGCAGACCCTTCTCCTACCAAAAAGCAAACACTCTCCCCATGCCCCACCCTACCCCTACCTACACTCCCCACCCCCTGGTTCTTATCCTGATCTGAGATACGGATGCCTCCTCTTGAACATTCTGACCAACCTGCAAGACTTTCCTCCCAGAAGACTATGTAAACCTAAGCATAGAATTGTGGGTACCATTTAGGTACTCCCAAGATTTATGGATTAAAGTCCTTGGTTTTTAGTAAGGTGGGTCAGCGTGCAATCTAGAATGAGGGTCCTTTGATGGAGAGAGGTGTGGGGGGAGGCAGCATCCCCAGATGCGTTTGAGAGTACCGACTCCAGGGCGTGCTGGAGGCAGGATCAAATGACACTGGGGATTCTGGTGAGAGGGTTTCCTCTCCTGCAGTCCTTCTTGGACTCAGGGCTGTGACTGTTAGAGCATGCAGGACTCCCCCACCCCAGACACCATCTTCAAGGTCCAGGTCACGAGGCTGGTGCCTGCCCCAGGCCCCCCCACATAGTGGATCTAGCAGCAGGAGTGAAGCGGTGCTTTCTGCACCCCCCTGTGTGGTGCCGGTGGCTCATCCCTTTGGTTCCTTACCCTCTCCCTCTGTCTGGTGGCTCCTGGCTGCCCGTATTTGACTGGGCATTGCTTTCTTGGCTGGACACCTCCTTTAGCTCAGCTCCACGGAAACGCTCCAGGAATGAGTCCGTTCTCTGGGCCTCATGGTGTACGTTCCTGGTGGCCCATGCTCGCAGTGAGATGATCAGGCGAGACATCCTGGAAGGACATGGACAGGCAGCCAGTGCAGAGAGGAAGGAGACGGAAAGCCCTTTTTTCCTGGCCTGGGGTGGAAGCAGGGATGACTGGCAGGACATGGGTCCTGGGGGCCCAGGGCTCAGGTGTGCATCTCCACTCTGCTGGGGACTTATTCCCTTCTCCTCCATCACCTGCCGTCTGGAACAGAGCTAAAGGGGCAGTGTCTTCATTATAACTTTGTCCTTTTAACACTTGGGCTCTGCCAAAGGCATGATCCTTCAAATGGGGCATCAGAAGCCTTTCTGCTTATCATTTCTTTTGTAGAGCTCTTTGTTATGACTGGTAAGCATAGAAATAGAAAAGAATCCAATCTGCAAATGGTGATAAAATTCAGAACAAGGTTTAAAGGAACAAATGCCCACCTACAATTTAGATTCTTTTCCTAACCCTTGTCTTATTTGTTATACAGACTCTTGTTCCCTCCCCAGGCTTGTGCATAAGTTTCTTTGCAAGTTGCCTTGACCCGTCTCCTAGAGCCAGGCCCTGCCAGACCACAAGCACCTGAGACCAGTCAGCCCATGTCCCCAGAGCCCATCTTAGCTTCAGCTTTCCATGAGAAGCTCTCCCTTAGCCCTGCCTGTTGCCTCCCCTGTCTCTTCCAAAGGGGAATGAGAAGAGAGCCTGACCTCTGTTTCTTGGTATCTGGTCGGCCTGACTTGGCACCATTGGGTGCACACCCCTGTTCTCAATCAAATGAGTTCTGAGCAACCTAGAACGAGGTCATGAGCCGTTGCATGCCTTCACCCTAATCACACACTTGGGAACTTTGCCTAGGAGAATGAGTTAAAGCAGGAAGACATTCCACGCCCAGAGATGTTGACAGCTGCTGCTGCAGACAGACGTGGAGGTGCCTGCCCAGCCCAGCCCAGCCCAGCCTCCCTGCTCTGGACACTCCTCCCTTCCCCATCCGCCCTCTGCTGAGGGGCTGGAACCAAGGTCATGCTCCCCACTCCAGTTTCAGCCGACAGGTCCAGGAATGGACAAGACACCCACAGAAAGTCACTCGAGCCTCTGAACTAAAAACCACTCCAAATTGGGGTTGGGTGTTCGAACTCAGGATTGTATAGCAAAAGCCATTTTCAGCCTGTGCCTGCTGAAGTGTGAACAGAGAAAGCCGGAAACAGAGGAGACATGCAGGAAAAAAAAAAAAAAAATCACAAAGATCATGACACTCCAGGAGAAAATGAAAGGGAAAGGACAGGTGCCACACCCCCGCCCCCAACTCCGCTCTCATGAGCCCCCATTGGCTCCTCTTCCATGAGGTGGTTGGTCTGAACTTACACCAGCCTCCTGCCTCGGCCTTCCCCCAGGCCTTTCAATATCAACTGGTGTGAAGGTGTCCTTGCAGTCAGTGAGCCTTCAGACAGCATTTTATTAGTAAGACGAAAACACCAGAAATCGTGGAAATGCCCAGCCACAAGGGGCTAGTGAAAGAAACATTCCTCCACAATTAAATATATGAAGAATAACTAGAGGAATTAATTTTTGCAATAATCTTAAGCAAAAACTGTAGAACACATGACTATATAAAACTACAGCATTGGTTAAAAAAAAATTGGTGGAAAGAAATAATCCCCATGTTTGTTGAGCACCTGTTGTGAGTCAGCACTTGGCTCTGATGCGGGCCTCACGTTGTTTGATGCGTGAAATCAGTTGTCCAGATGAGATCTGGAAAGGTAAGATGACTTCTTCAAGGTGGCACAGCTCTCGAAGCCCGAGTACAGATGTCATCGGCTCAGAGCCGGGACCCTCTTTCTAATCCTTTCACAAGGACGTGAGCCAGGAAGCCTAGACAGGCACCCAAGAGGGCCTGCCAGAGGCTATCTTGGACAGTGGCCCCTAGGGCCATCTGCACACCACTGAGGTCCACCAGGGCTCTCCTGCGGCTGGCTGGTCTCGTTTCTGAATTCTTCTCGGAACCCCTCCTGGTTGGCTTTTTTCTAAATTCTTCCAGACTTGAGCAAGTACCTCAATATCACTTTATATGAAAGCAATTTCAGATAACAGCAGTTTTTCTTACATTTTTCTCAGCTCAGAACGCTTGACCTGAGAGGATATTCCTCAGGGGTAGACTTCTGACTGCTCTTCTGTCCCTTTTTCTTCTCCAAATCTTCAGCTCCACCTCCACCACCACCCCCCGCCTCCCGCCCCCACTTCTTCCTGAAACTCATCTACATTCTTCCTGCCTCAGTCTCCCTCTTCCCAAGGTGAGCGCTGAGCCTGGTCGGTTACCTGGCGGGCCCCTGGCTGGTGTAGAAGCTTCGCCTAGACTCCGCCAGTCCTCTGGTCTCCATGGTGATCTCCTGCTGCAGTTCTGACGAAGTCTCCTCGCTTGGCAAGTGGACCCTAGGAAATCAAATATGCAGCAGGCTAAATTGATTTCAAGCTCATCCCCTCCTGGACACACTCAGGGATGAGCTAGCCAGATGTCCTGCTTAATGAGGAAAGCCACTGGCCCCGGTCTTCACTATGTCAGTCCATGCTCCAGCAGGATCCAGCAGATCCCAGCTTTTAGGATAGATGTGGCCTTTCCTTTACAGCAAGCCTGACCCCAGAAGTCAGCTTGTCCAGCCCGTGGACTGAAGGGGACAGGACAGCAGCACATGGTCCTCATCCGTGCGCCGGGTGGGTGTGTCCCAGGGCTAGGGCCCGCCATCGGAAGCCACAGCAGCTGTCTCTACACAGTGATTCCAGAGCAAGAATTCTGGTTCAAATACAACTCTGTATACTGAAATCCTATCTGCTAAGGCCAGACTGTGTGTACGTCACAATACTCCCTGGGCACGCACGTACTTAGTGCTCAGCCAGCAGCCTTCCCAGGAGTGCTTTCGGTATTCGGTTAAGAGGAGTGTCCTGGAATATTGAATGGAAATGGCATGGGCCTCCATGCGCATTTGTACAGTGCTTTTGCATGAAAATACATTTCCACTGTGCCCTTTTGTCAAACCCTAACCTCTGTCCCCTGCAGTGGGGGACTAGGTAAGTGACCTCACCTGCCCAATTTGGAGTGAAAAGTGTGAGCACAAATAGGACACATGCCCACAGCAGAGCCCGGATGTTTGCTGAACTGCCCAGAATAAGACCAATGTGTTTGGGCATATTTTCCTTTCGTTCCCTGTCTTTTAAAATCTCCTAGGGCTGAAAATTTGATCAGCTTGATTAAAAGCCATCCAGGCATTGGCCCCTAGGGATTTACACTTCATTCTATGAGTCTTGAAGAGCCCAAGCAGAACAAATTAATTCCATCACGTGACCTATTCCAACCTAATCAGCCTTCTTAACAAGGTGGCAACACAGTTGACGAAGTAAGCAATAATTAAGGTCAGGAAAAATCTCTCTATTTCTCCTCAGTAAGGAATTAGAAGGCAGAGTCCTGAATCCCAGCCTCCAATCTGCTGACTCCTCTTTCTACAATACCCCCGCCATCTCCAGCTGCAGGGCGCTCCCTTCTGTCCCGTAGCCCAGCCTGGCCATCTTGGTAGCAGGTTCTTCTTTCCCTCAGCTTCCTCAGACCAAGGCTACTTCTGTGTGTGTGTGTGTGTGTGTGTGTGTGTGTGCTGGAACCACACCGAGGCAGGCTACTTCATCTTCTCCATGGCTACCTTCATGGACATCGGACATGAAGGGACAGCTCTCACACCTGTGCCACATCTGTTTTTGCAGGCTGGAACCCCCCAGCTCACCCAGCCATGCCTCATCAGGTTCAAGGCTCTTCCTAGTCATGGTCATGCTCCTGTGAGCAGGTTCCTGCATTCCTGCCTGGCTGGGCATGGAGACAGAGCCCATTCTGCTGTTACTGGGCCCCAAGCCAGAGGTCATTGCAGGTTTGTGAGTTTGTGTGCTTTTGGTGTCCCCACGGGCAACTACCATCAGCCAAAACCCAAAGTCCCATAATATGGGCTGCTGCTAAGCCAGAAGGTCCTATCTTGTGCATGTACAATTGATTTGTTGGAAGTAAGTTCTGGAGAGTTCCGTTGATCTGAGCCACTCAATGTTTTGGGACGCTTGGGCTCCATGTAGCCTTTCCTCCCAACTCATCTTGTTCTCATGCAATACACAAACCATAGGCCACTTATTGACTGTTTACTGTATGCCAGACACATAGATCTTATCATTTAATCCACATAACCACCCAGTAAGAGAGAAAACTGAGGTTCTGAGAGGTTAGGTTAAATAACTTCCCCAAGATCATATGGTCAAGTAGCAAAGCCAAGGTTTGAATGTCATTCCATCCTATGTCAAAGCCTGCTTTCATCCACTCTTATGAAGCTACTCTCTGTATTTTCACTTATGACACCGATTAAAGCAGGACTGAGCCCTGTGGCATACCACTAGAGACACAGCTCTGGTCCACCAGGTTATACAATGTGGGCATGGCTCTTTATTTTGAAAACCGTCTAATTGAATTCTCTCTCTCTATCCCTAAAAAACCACTCATATTTTTTGTCCTTAGACACATGGGAAACCCCGCCAGAGGTCTTGCTATAGTTAGGAAGCTCTGATCCCCTTGCCCTTCTAATAATCTGCATACTACAAAGGTGAAATGCACATTCCAAGGCACTCGGGGCAGTCCCTGGAGGAGGGAGAGTGGGACAAGTGAGTGAGTCCATATCTCTAGTCCCTCCCTAGCAGCTGCCACATGGTGGGGTTAGGTGTGCAGGAACCGACAGCTTGGGCTGCAGCTCCGACCCTGTATGTGTGCCCAGAAGATCTGGAGGCAATCCCAAGGGTGAAGGTGTTCTGTCCCCACCAGCAGCTCCTCAGAGAGCTCTGGGCACCAAGGAGTCGGCCCAGCCTTTCTGCCCAGCCTGCTTTCTGTTAATTACGTGAGGGCACATCCTGAAAACAGATTTATTTGCATTAGTAGCAAAGGAATCAATGACATCAGAGCTGATGAGGATGTGAGGAGGGCAAAACCCGCCCCAGATTCCAAACCAGGCCTGTTCTTCGCAGCAGTGAGGGCTCCCATGTGGGGGCTGCATCTAGGACACTTGCTTGAAGGGTGGTGGCAGAGAGGGGAGCTGGGAGGCCTATTAGCTAGGTGTTCTGTGGGCAGCTCACTTACCCTCCTTGGTGTTTCGTAGTCTTCAAAAAGGAACTAAATGAAAAATTGGTGATTTTGTATCAACTTAAGTATTGTTCAAACAGCCAAGTCCAGAAAAGGCACATTTCACCATGAAGAGTAGGGAAAGCCTTCTAGGAAGTAAGTTCATGGGACCCAAAGGGGTCTTCTCTTCTTGACATGTCTCCCCACTTCTTTTTTGATGCTTGAAATTCTCTGATGTCTTCTAGCTCCCAAGTCTCCACCTCGTAAATTGCATGGGGGTATTTAAATAGTCAACCCACTTAGTTATTCCTCGGAGAAACTGATTTTACCAAGCAGATGGAAGAGGAGATGGGAAGAGAGAAGAACCAGATGTCTGAGGTGACACTTTGAGTCCCTGAGGACACACAGGTACTGAGAAAAAGGCAACCAATGGATGAATGGGGATCCAGAACCTCCCAGAGATATACAGAAGCAGGAGAAACTGGGGGCCAGGCCCCATTCTGCCAGAGCTGGTGGAAGAGTCTGGGGCAAGGGACTTGATGGGGCCTTGTCCCAGGACAATCCAGAAGCTACACTCCCATTTGCGGATGCCGACTGTAGGCAGCAATGATGATGATGATGATGATGCCAGGAAGGATCTCTGGGAAGCTGGTGATTAGCGAGAACAAGAGCAGCCAGCAAAACACAATGATGGGACTGTTTTGAAAGAGAAGGTAATTTTCAACTTGTGATGTTCATCTTCTAAGTTTTCTTACAAAGAGGAACTTCCTGTCTGTGAGGTAAATGTTTCCCTTGTCACTGGGAGAAGATGGGGATGCTCATCAGAGCTGCAACATGTTATCAGCTTTTGTACTTGGCGGAGCACCTGGTGAAGATGATACTTTGTTTTTCTTTTCCTCCTCTCCAGCCCTGAGGAACTGGAATGACCCACACGCACTGCCATTGGCCACTTGTGACCAGGGAACTGAAGTGAGTGCATTTTTGTCTTCGGTCCTGGGGAAGCAGCCTGAAAATGGTGTTCTTTGGTGATAATTGCTTTGAGCTCTGCTCAGAGAGCAGCACAAAAAAGGCTTCTCTTCCGTAGGACACAAACCCCTATGCCCCAAAGCTCGCCTAAAATAGCTACACCAGGAGATTGATCTGAGATTTGAGGTACCCTTGGTCCTCACGGTAATTCTCTGTTGCAGATTCTGAAGTCTTTCCCTACTGCATTATCTTTTCAAATATGCCAGACTTCTCTTAAATAATCAAGTCAACTAAACAGATCTAAATAGAAAAGGAAAATTCAAGACATTTTTATTTCTGGTATTTTCAGTGTTTTGACTTTGTTGTTCAAATGAAACGTTTTCATCCTTCCGTATGGTTTGTCACTAGGAAAGTGATCCCAATAATTTAAAAAAGGAGAAACAGAAACCTGCTCTCCAGTTTGGTGAAAGATTTGGGGACAAGGATGTTTCAGGGAATGGGGACATAATAGCTCCTCTCTCCTGGGGGCATTGGGCAAAGGGTCACCATGACACACAGGTTCCCAGCACAGTTTCTTGATATCATTGAGGACAAAGAATGATTAGTATTTAAGGAAAAACACAATTACATCTCCCAAAAGCTTTCTAAAAGGATTTGAAATTTTTAAAATTATTTTTAAAAAGTTTATTTATTTAAGTAATCTCTACACCCAACATGGGGCTCGAAGTCATGACCCAGAGGTCAAGAATCACGCATTCTACCAACTGAGCCAGCCAGGTGCTCCTAAAACAGTTTGAATTTTAAAGCAAGGATCTATGGTTTGTTCAAACACCATTTCCTCCCCTAAAATAGTGATTTGAAACTTTAAAATTTTTATGTGTACATGCCATAGTCCCTGTTCAAATGACTCTTACAGGGAAAACTAGTCTGTATTTAGACAGATGCTAGGCTGTGCTGGGAAGCAGAGGAGGGGCCTGGACCCAGCCTCTGGCCCAAGGCTGTTCCACCCTCCAGCCTGAGCACACATGCTCAATCCTTGGTAACGCCAAGGAACTCATTCTAGAAACTTCCATCTGTTAACTCAGTCCTGCCTCCATGAGATAAAGCAAACATCTGCCTCATGAAGGAAGCATTATTTTTCTCTCTCCTTTTAAAATCTCCATACTGTCTCCATGCGATTCTGTATTAATCTGTCAACAAGCTTTTACCATAGGAGTGGTTGGGCAAGGCCCCAAGTGAGGCTCAGTGAGACCAGACTAGTGGTCAGCCTGAGGAAGCATGACTTGGTCACAGGCAGGAAATGGCCAGATCCAGATGTCAGGACAGCTGGAGCTGTCTGAGGCCAGAGGAGAAGAAGGCTTCCAGCTTGGAAGACCAGGGAAGGCCCACAGGAGGGGGACTCATTTTCAAGACTGACAGCACTGACTGAACACTTTCTACACAGGAGGGACTGTGCTGAGAGCACTGACCTGTTCTAACCTCACTACAGCCCTGCGAGGTCAGTACTAGTCCACTATACAGGTGAGGAAAGTGCAGTCCGGAGAAGCTGCCTCCCTTTTCAGAGCTGGTCAGTTGCAGAGCCAATATTCAAACTCAGCCAGCCTGGCCCTGAGCCTGTTAAGTCATCACACTGGTCACAGAATGGGGGATAGGAGGGAGAATGAAGGACTTTTCCCCCACCCATGAAGAGGGTAAACAGCATTTTTGAAGAACATCAATTCAGAGCCCCTGACTGTGTGGCTGACCCAGCCTCTGAGTGTGCACAAACCCAGCATGAGCCCCCAGAGGCCCATCGCTGGGGTCCATGTGGCTTAAATTGAGCTAGCAATTTATTTTGCGAAGGGTCATCTTCCAGGAGTCCCAGTGAACAGCCCAGGAGTCTCCTGAACAGCCCATGCCTCCAGCTGGGCTTGTAGGCCACTGGCTGAGGCAGAGCCAGGACAAATCAGGCAGAGGTGGACCATGGCAGTGTCTTGTCAAGCAGGTATTCTGGGCAGGAGCCCCAGCCCGTTAACTGGGACTGCTTATTCTTGAGTATCTAACCATAAAAAGCCAGATGAAGACCCTGTTGTTCTCAGCCCCAGGGAGCCTAGAAGGTCCATGAGATGATCTGATGATGTCCCCCACAAGACAAAAGGGAGCAATGGGGGAGAGGTCCATTCTGCTTCAAATTCCTCTTGACCCTAACAGCTTCTGTCCTTCTCCCATTGGGCCCAAGGTCCCAGGAACCCAGTGCTGCCCAAGGAGCTTCACTTTACTGCTGTGCCGCATGCTTGGACCTGTTCTCCCCTCCACCCCAGTCATCTTTGAACACCCAGCTCCAAGAGGTTAATTAGCACAGATGTGAAAAAGAAGCTATTCATGCATACCAAAGTTTTAGTAGCAGATATCTGTCCTAAGAGTGTTCTTTTTTTTCTTTTAAATTAGGGGCAATGACTTAACCTAAAGGAGTAAGTCTCCAGTGGTGAGACACTGGTATTGACAGTAGGCCAGTTAGGAAGGAGAAATTTGAGTAGAATGAGAACTTTTTTTTTTAATTTAATTTAATTTATTTTTAAATTTCTTTACAGTGTAACAGTATTCATTGTTTTTGCACCACACACAGTGCTCCATGCAATGCATGCCCTCCTTAATACCCACCACCTGGCTCCCCCAATTTCCCACCCCCTGCCCCTTCAAAACCCTCAGGTTGTTTTTCAGAGTCCACAGTCTCTCATGGTTCACCTCCCCTTCCAGTTTCCCTCAACTCCCTTCTCCTCTCCACCTCCCCATGTCCTCCATGTTATTTGTTATGCTCCGCAAATAAGTGAAACCATATGATAATTGACTCTGCTTGACTTATTTCACTCAGCATAATCTCTTCCAGTCCCGTCCATGTTGATACAAAAGTTGGGTATTCATCCTTTCTGATGGAGGCATAATACTCCATAGTGTATATGGACCACATCTTCCTTATCCAGAATGAGAACTTCTGATGGCCCTAAGTCATATCAAAAATTCCTGGGGCTCCAACACTATGTTAAAATGGTTGGAGGCAATTAATAGCTGTTGGGATGCTCTGAGACATTCCTCCCTTTGCCGGAATCCCCAAAGGTAGGGTTCTAGGACTACATGAATTCATAGTGACAGGGAATCAATCTCTTTAGAAATTATTGTCCATCACTCATGAGCAGAGTTACTAAGGAGTAGGAACAAGAATCTACACAGAAAAAAACAAATGTGCATCTGAAAGAAGTGATATACATTAGTAACAGAGGAGAAATGGTGGATGAAGGCCCAGCACCAGGGATGTGAACACTGATGGACTGTCTTTGCAGTTTATGGTCATTGGATAATATGCAGTTCTCATGGGAGGGAAAAGTTTTCAGTGTTATATATATAGGACAACAATAACACAAATTTTGGAAATAAAGTTTCTCATGGTTCAACTCAACTCATTGAGAATTTAAGAAACATAAAAATGTAAGTCCATATGCACCGAATAGGTACACTCCCACTTCCTCATCCTTGTGCCAGGAGCTTGAAAAAGATGCTGCTCCATTTTGCAGTTGAAGAAACTGAGGCATGGAGAAATTAAGTGGGTTTTCCCCATTCTACTAGTAAGCCATGAACAGGTCTAGAAGTAGTACTCAAGGCCCAGATTTCTTTATGGCTGCCTGTGTGGGGATGTCATTGATGGGGCTAATGGCTTTACTGGTAAGGCACAGCCCACTCCCTGCAGACCATGAGCACAACATGAATACTGCCCTTCCACTGAATGTGAGGGACAGGGCATCTGATTCGTACTCATCCCTAGCATCCAGGACAATGACTGGTGCACAGAGTCCAATAAATGTCTGAAGTATATATGGGAAAGTATGCCAGTTGGGAGAAGTTTTTACAATAAAAGTTAATTTGCTCCATTTGAATCTTCAGTTTGTTACCTTTTAGAAGTTACATAATCTTTTGAGCCTCATTTTCTACCTCTCTAAAATGAGAATAAAAACTACTTCAGTGGGTTGTGAGGCTTAGGTGAGATGAAGTAAGTGAAGTCAGAAGGAGCACTGTGAATAGCCCGCACCCTTCAACCTGCTGTTTGCTACAGGCTAGGGCATTCTTTACCCCACAGTCTAGATCAGCTATGGGAACAACTCATTTTGTGGGCATGCAATGGAAAGCCCATCTTACCTGCTGAGGCCATTTTCAACATGGTCGAGATCTCTGTCCATGGTCCTTACCGCAGGGTGGGAGAATTGGGTGTTAATCTTGGCCATCTTCTTGCTTAGTCACGTTCAGCCCCAAGGTGGTTACTGAAACATGAATACAAAGCAGATCACATCAAGGCAGGGAATGAGCTGCAAACCCAGCTCATTGTAGGTAAGGGCTATTTCCCAGGACAAGCCCTGGCACACATATCCTCTTCCATTTCTCCCATAGTTCCAGCTACACTGTGTTTTAGTTGGGTATCTTTGGGCTCTTCTTCACAGCCTGAAGCAAAAGCAAGGTCTTTCACTCCTTTTTGTATGCTGCCATGCCAAAGATCTGGTCAAAGTTAAATGCTGATCCAGCCAATGAATGAATGATTGGCCAAGTTGGTATCTGATATAAGAAAATTAAAATCCTCATGATTCTATGGAATGATGTGATGTTCCCCTTGACTCTGGTTTTCTCACTGGCTTATTTTTATTTCATAATTTTGCACATGTTTTAGTAGCTCCCCCAAATCTCATTTCAAAAATAAAGCATAAAAACAAACAATACTTGACATTCATAAAACCTTTACAATGTGATGTTATACTCAAAACACACTTCATCTCATTTAATCCTCATAATAACCTCATCGGGTATTTACAATTTTTATCCCCACTTACAGATGACTAAATTGAGATTTAGAGATGTTAAGTATCTTGTTCAAGCAAAGAAATAGGTAAAACCAGTTGATGGCATGATCCTAGTGCTAGAAATCAGACCGTGAGTACTCTCCCTTCAGCAAACATTGGAAAGCGCCCCTACGACTGATGAGAAAAGAAAGCTGATTTAAACATAGCACTGGTGTGAGGAACACAAAGATTGACCAGTTCCCTTATCCTTGATCAAAACCTTCCAGGCAGAAGATGAATCCCTGAGGACAGTTTCTCTTGAACAGACAAACACAGGCTCTCTGGAGCAGTCACATGGCTTGAGTATGTCAAATGTCAGTAAAGACCACTCTAGAGAAAGATGGTGATTTCTAGATATAGTCCAGTGACTCACTCCAAGACTAAATTAGTTCCATATCCAAAGGAAGGAGAGTGCAAGGAGCCCAGAATACTGCACCAAAGCAAAGATGTAGTTTCTGCTCACCATGGTCAACACAGCATGAGTTTACTCAAGGGAAGTTGTTTGCTCATCAGTCTTGGTTCATCTCTGATGTTTGATAATTTAAGTCTATGGCTTAAATTTTATACTTTTCTCAATAGATCAAAAATTGTTTTGATTTTAACAACTCTACTCATTTATTTTTATGTTTTATTATATTAGTCACCATACAGTATTTCATTAGTTTTTGATGTAGAGTTCCGTGATTCATTATTTGCATGTAACACCTAGTGCTCCACGCAATACATGCCCTCCTTAATATCCATAACCAGGCTCTCCCTGCTAAAACCCTTAGTTTGTTTCCCAGAGTATATAGTCTTTCATGGTTCATCTCCCTCTCTGATTACCACCCCCCTTCCATTTTTCCCTTCTTTCTCCTAATGTCCTCCATGTTATTCCTTATGTTCCACATGTAAGTGAAACCATTTAATAATTGTCTTTCTCTGCTTGGCTTATTTCACTCAGCATAATCTCTTCCAGTTCCATCTGTGTCAGTACAAATGGTGGGTATTCATTGTTTCTGATGGCTGAGTCATATTCCATTGTGTATATGGGCCACATCGTCTTTATCCATTTGTCTGTTGAAGGCATCTTGGCTCCTTCCACAGTTTGGCTATTGTGGACATTGCTGTTATGAACCTTGGGGTGCATGTGCCCCTTCTCTCTATATCTTTGGAGTAAATACCCAATAGTGCAATTACTGGGTCATAGGGTAGCTCTATTTTTAACTTTTTGAGGAATCTCCACACTGTTTTCCAAAGTGGCTGTATCAGCTTGCATTCCCACCAACAGTGTAAGAGGGTTCCCCTCTCTCCACATGCTCTCCAACATTTGTTGTTTCCTGTTTTGTTAATTTTTTCTATTCTAACGGATGTAAGGTGGTATTTCAATGTGGTTTTGATATTTTCAATGCCATCTTGATCAAAATACGAATGGCATTTCTCTAAGAGCTAGAACAAACAATCCTACAATTTGTATGGAACTGACTCTGAATTGCCAAGGAAATGTTGAAAAAGAAAACCCTGGGGGCATCATATTGCCTGATACCAAGCTATATTACAAAGCTGTGATCATCAAGACAGCATGGTACTGGCACAAAAACAAACACATAGATCAATGGGACAGAATAGAGAGGCCAGATATGGACCCTCAACTCTATGTTCAACTAATTTTGGACAAAGCAGGAAAAAATATCCAATGGAAAAAAGACAGTCTCTGCAATAAATGGTGCTGGGAAAATTGGACAGCTATATACAGAAGAATGAAACTTGACCATTCTCTTCCATCATACACAAAGATGAACTCGAAATGGATGGACCTCAATGTGAGACAGGAATCCATCAAAATCCTAGAGGAGAACATAGGCAGTAACCTCTTTGACATCAGCCACAGCCACTTCTTTCAAGACATGTCTCCAAAGCAAGGAAAACAAAAGCAAAAATGAACTTTTGGGACTTCATCAAGATAAAAAGCTTCTGCACAGCAAAGGAAACAGTCAACAAAACTAAGAGGCAACCGTGGAATTGGAGAAGATATTTGTGAATGACATTACAGATAAAGGGCTGGTATCCAAGATCTATAAAGAACTTCTCAAACTCAGCACCCAAAAAAACAAATAATCAAGTCAAAAAATGGGCAGAAGACATGAACAGACACTTCTCCAAAGAAGAAATACAAATAGCTAACAGATACATGAAAAAATGTTCAAAAACTTTACTCATTTATGTAACAGTGAGTTTCTGGCTGATTGCAGGAGCTACAAAGAAATATAAGATAAAGACTGTTCTCAAGGATCTTATAGTCTGGTAGGGCAGATGATGTAGACCATTAAGGAGCTTGGGCTTTACCCTGAGTCCAGCCCAGCAGGGAAGTGGCCAGATGTATAAAGGTCACTCTGGCTGCACGGAGAAGGACATATTCAGGGGCATGAGTTGGTGTGAGGTGAGCAGCTAAATGCAGCTAAATGCTGCAGTATCTCAAGGGAGAGAGGACAGTTGCCTGAACTAGATTTGTGGTAATGAATCAGACAAATTAAAAAACTTCAAAATGGATATAATCACTGGGAAATGGTAATTAATCAGGTATAAAAGGTGATGAGGAGGGAGGTGCTGAGTACATTGCATGACTGCTGGTCTGGGGCGTTGATGGTTCTGCACACTGAGGCAGGGAACTAGGGGAAGAAGCAGGTTTGAGAAACAGAATGATTCCAGTTTGAGATGTCTATGGAAACCTTTGAGCCAACATAGGAAATAAATGTCTTTCATTACAGGCAATTAGCCCAGTTTGAAATCATTCACCCAGTGCTTTTTTATTGAGCACTTACTATGTGTCAGATAATACGCAAAGAGCTAAGGTTTTACGGAGAATATCCATCTCTGTCCTCAAGGAGATTATAGTCCAGTGGGATCTAGAGCAAGTCTTAAAAAAAGCTTTGGGACTCTGTAGAAAATCTATCAAATTATTCTTTTTGTACATTTCCAGGAAAGTTGCAGCAGAGAAAGTTCACTGTCTCCAGCCTGTGTCCCTTCCTTCAGCCCCTCTCATCTGTACAAACCCTGGTGTCAGATGCTATTGTATGGAGGCAGCACTTCTGGGCCCTCACAGACCTGCCTCCTATGGAGGGCTACTGTATATATGCCAGAAATAGGGTAGGTGCTCATGTAATACTGCTCCTTTAACCTTCAAATAGTCTCCCCTTTCCTGACCCTTTTACAAGTGAAGAAACTGAGCAGGTACGTAATTTCTGTAATATTGCTTATAGCCTGAGCCAGGATTGACAAATTTCTGTCTGACTCCAGAACCTGATAATGTAAAGTTAATGGGTGGCAAAGAAGTGGCATTGCCTTTTGGTCTGAGCAGGAGGGGTCCCTCCCTGGGACCCCAGGCTTTAAAGGACTCTACTTTGACTCTCTTCCAGCCACAGAACAAGAGGCCAAGGGAACTTGCCCACCCACAATCTGGCCCCCTGCTCTGGGTGCCCAAGATTCCCAAATTCTGTGCTCAGGAGCCTCTGGATTGGTTCTAGGGCCTGCCTGGGCCTCTTCCCAGGTCTGTTTACCTGAGAAGGACATCAGTGTGCATTCCCCTAGAGCTCCTAGGACCTAGGTCCTAGCTCATTGCCTGGACTTATCATTTCATTACAAGTTGCACATTGGTGATATTCTATCATTTCTTTTCTACTAATTAGCTGACAGAGTCTTTATTTTTTAAAGATTTTATTTATTTATTTGACAGACAGAGATCACAAGTAGGCAGAGAGGCAGGCAGAGGGAGAGGAGGGAGCTGGCTCCCCGCTGAGCAGAGAGCCTGATGCCAGACTTGATCCCAGGACTCTGGGATCATGACCTGAGCTGAAGGCAGAGGCTTTAACCCACTGAGCCACCCAGGCGCCCCAGCTGACATAATCTTAAAGAAAATTTTATTTATTATTTGGCTCTTCAGTGGTACTGTTCATACAGGAAAGGCAGAATAAACAATTCTTTCCTCTTATTTACCAGTTTTTAAGTCCTGACATCCTAAGTGATTCCCTAACTGCCCTGTGAATTTTCACATTTCCTAGCCCAGACAAACTCTGGGACAGCTCACAAATGAGATCATGAAAATCCAGTCAGTGATCCTGAGGTGGCTGTTGAGAATGAAACCTGCCATCCAGCCAGGGCCCCAGGAGTGTGAGGCACTTGCATATCCATTACTCATTAAGCCTCAGGAGCCCCAAGAGGTAATAGTGAAGCTGGTTTTGCAGGCTTGGGTCGGTCTGACCCTGAGGTCCACAAGGTGGTTTGTTTTGTTTATCATACCCACCGTAGGAGATTAGAAATGCATATATAATTTTAATTTTCAAGCACAGGAAGAAGATGTATCCTGTCAACTACCAGGGTGACCTTGAAGTGGAGCCTAGGCGTGAGTCTAAGAGTGG